GCAATTATAATCAGTTATAATGGGAAAACATACCAAGTACAATTATGAACGTAACCGCATGGAGATAGGCATTCCAATTTAATTTTGAAACTACAGTCTCGAATATTTCCAACTACTTTCTGGGGCGAAAAATAGAAAAGGGAGGGTACACACGAACATTCCTAAATTAGCACGTAGATGGTAAATTTGTAACCTACAAGACGCTCCCGGCAGTGAACCCCGTAACTCTGTAGCAGCGACACAGCCTCCAACACACTTAACCTGACGTTCACATATGTAACCTAGCCAGATATAACAAGTATTACAATTAATGTTAATGAGAATACTGCTGGAGATACATAACTTAAGGTTACAAGTATTATATATTAGAATCGCATTTGATTTTTAAACGTGAAAAGCCTCAAGGAAACACTTTGATAAAATTATTAAAATATTATGACATTTTAATTCGACATATAATTGAATTAAGGCGTAAGGCAGACCGCAGCGACTCACTGCTTTGGAGTTACCCATAAAAAATGTTGAACTGCTCCCCCTTTTGCAAGGGTAAAGGTTAAACTTGCTGCTGGGGTTTGATGCAGGAAGTGAGAAGAGCAGCAAGCCTGAGTCACGGGAGAGTTATATTATGTCCACTGTAGCGCGACTATCACCACCTTTTAACTATATTTATCATCTATACATAAAAATCTTAAAGGAATGGCTAAATTTAGGCTGGAGGGGAAGAGAGCAATGTGGGTGGTTGTGATTGGGTCTCACGCCAGAGGGGCAGGAATAGTGGCAGCGGTGTTGTGACTTTTTTCCCACTCTTGGCTCCCTGATATTGATGGTGACATCTCGGATGATCGTCGACATTTCTCCGGATATTCCAGGTGATGACCTCATCACTGATTCACGACACTTCCCTATGGGGTATACACACATCTCATCAATATTCATATTAATTTGCACGTTCGGAAAAGTGTGTATGATATGAGGCACGCTTGCATCTTTGATGTTAAAGAATTTTGCAAGGGTCCGCAACTTTTAACGCTAAATGGGGGGGGAGGCGTATTTTTCGCAAAAATTAATGAATGTTTGATTTTACAAAACCTATAAATGGTGAGGCAGTTTTATTTTTGAATTGTAAAATAGTTCCTGTTATGATAATTGAAACGACTAAACAAATATGAGTTTAATACGTAATACAATTTGTTATTTTTTGTGTGTTTGTCTATAATGATGCTGCCTAGTTGGGAGTAATTAGCTCCTCTGTCTGCCGTTAAACCTCGATAAAAACCAAACGTGTATGAAAACACTCTGGCTTCCACTACCGCCCACAAGATGGGTACGGGGTGCATACTAAATGAACTAAATTAACTAACTTCTTGTCCTCCGACACAGTGAATTATTATATCTTTAAAGCTATGAATTGATCTGTTCTCAACCCCTCCAACTTGGTTTGCTCTGAATCTTCACCACTCGCACACTGAAAAATACTTTCTTCTATATGCTCTAATTTGCTTTTCCTACTGTCTCCTGTCACCTCTCGTTCTCTTTATCATTGCATGCAACAGTCTGTCCTTTGTCAGGTTTATCTGTAAGTATTGTGTACGTTGTGATCACGTCCCCTCAACGGACCATGCAAGTGCTGCATTTTCAAGTAGAAGTGTAACATGGATTGGAAAATGTATATAGAGTTATAAAGGATTCTTTGTTTACGTTCTGGAATGCTATTCTGTTTGGCTTCGTATTTGTCGGTATTCGTCTCTAGTCTTCCTTCTCCCTTTTCCACTTCCATAACATAGTAATTAACTTTTTGTTGAAATCTGCTAGTCATATATTACTTGTCTGATTCTGTAGCCTTTTTGAATCCGACTTCCGTTAAGTAGTGTGCATAACAACTGACCTGCCGAAGCAACGTTTTAGCCTGTTAAAATCCCCTTGTATTGTTCTGCATGTGGAGTATCAGAAGAGGGTGGGGAAGAATGTGGAGTATGAGGAGTGGGTGGGGCAGGAGGAGTGGGAGTGGGTTATCTTGAGGTTATCTTGAGATGATTTCGGGGCTTTAGTGTCCCCGCGGCCCGGTCCTCGACCAGGCTTCCACCCCCAGGAAGCAGCCCGTGACAGCTGACTAACTCCCAGGTACCTATTTACTCTATTTACTGCTAGGTAACAGGGGCATTCAGGGTGAAAGAAACTTTGCCCATTTGCTTCTGCCTCGTGCGGGAATCGAACCCGCGCCACAGAATTACGAATCCTGCGCGCTATCCACCAGGCTACGAGGCCCCACCTCCTGGGTGGGGCAGGAGGTGGAGTATCAGGAGTAGGTGGGGCAAGAGGTGGAGTATCAGGAGTGGGTGGGGCAGGAGGTGGAGTATCAGGATGGGGTGGGGCAGGAGGTGGAGTATCAGGAGTGGGTGGGGCATGAGGTGGAGTATCAGGATGGGGTGGGGCAGGAGGTGGAGTATCAGGAGTGGGTGGGGCATGAGGTGGAGTATCAGGATGGGGTGGGGCAGGAGGTGGAGTATCAGGAGTGGGTGGGGCAGGAGGTGGAGTATCAGGATGGGGTGGGGCAGGAGGTGGAGTATCAGGAGTGGGTGGGGCAGGAGGTGGCGTATCGGAAGGAGAGGGTGGATCAGGAGGTGGAGTATCAGGGTGAGGACGGGTTAAGTCACTAACACACAGTTCGTTGTTGACACATAGGAACTAAAAGCATAACTTTCTCTAGGTGTTATCTGTCTAATCTATGGAAGGATCACTCCAGTTATTGAGTGGGAGGGGTTGTTGCAGTTAGCCTAGATTCCTGGTGTTCTTGACGTACCCACGATATCCTAATACTGCCGCTAAAGTTCATCAGCGAGGGCTACTGTTCACATGCCCCTGTATGATTACCTATCCTGTAAGATGAATATTTCTTTTTAACGTCACTTTTGACACACTATGTAACCTTTCATATAATCTACGGGTAAGCAGGCGATGAGTCACAATAACGTGGCTAAAGTATGTTGACCAGACCACACACTAGAAGGTGAAGGGACGACGACGTTTCGGTCCGTCCTGGACCATTCTCAAGTCGATTCTCAACTCTCAATCGACTTGAGAATGGTCCAGGACGGACCGAAACGTCGTCGTCCCTTTACCTTCTAGAGTGTGGTCTGGTCAACATCTAGGGGTAACTGCATAAATGCAGATGCACCTAAAAATATAACATTTAACAAGTTCAAGTATATTTATTGAGACAAGAAAATACATCTCAAAGGGATAGAGTAGCTTAGGCTATTTCTTCCCCGCCCCCAGATATTTTACAATAGATCAATGCAGAAGTTACGGGTTCACCGCTCTTCAGGACTCATGGTTGACAATTTAGTCAAGCTATTGGCGTTTGTCGGCACCACAAGCCATGTAAATCAGACAGTTTAAAGACACAGGTCAATTTCTCTCTGGTCTTCGAGGTGGGTTCCTTCGATTGTTTCAAACGTGGGTTGGACATGTATATGAGTGGGATTGGGTGGTTATAAATAGGAGCTGCCTCGTATGGACCAATAGGCCTTCTGCAGTTACTTTTGTTCTTACGTTCTTATGTTCTAGTCAGCATGCCCATGTGTAGCTATTCCGGTGTATCTAGTCCATACATCTCTGCATTTCACCGAGGACATTTTGATCATTGGATATTTAATCACGCTCTCTTGATGAATTACTTCAATATGTAAATTCGGAACAAGTTCAGCTAGTATTTTGCATTAATGTCATTTGATAGTTCTTTTTCGCCTGCACTCTTCTGAGAACAGATTGAGGAGTTTATAATTGATAAAACATTCGAGTTTTTTTTTTAACAGTACGAGTGTTTAATAATGTATACGGACAGTGAATATTCACTACTTATTCTACTCTGGTGATTAGTTTTGCCAGTTTGATATGTTAATTTGGAGGAATATTCTAGTCTATAGAACACAAATGGGTTAACTATGAAGTACAATAACTGTTTTTGCCTTTTCTTGAAGCTGTGATAGTTGCTCTGTTGTCCTCTAATTGTAAAATCTTCTGACATGGTATGGTTTATCTTCTGTATTCTGTTCAAATTTTAGCTTCTTTTTCTTCATAGTGGAACTGAAAATGATTTACTTAAAAATATATATTGTGTTATGATGTCCACGAAAAGACAGTTTACATGTCTCCCGTTTTAGCGATGAATTATAATCTCATGAAGAACAATATTAATATGCAGGCGATGAGTCACAATACGTGGCTGAAGTATGTTGACCAGACCACACACTAGAAGGTGAAGGGACGACGACGTTTCGGTCCGTCCTGGACCATTCTCACACTCAACTCGAGAATGGTCCAGGACGGACCGAAACGTCGTCGTCCCTTAACCTTCTAGTGTGTGGTCTGGTCAACCAATATTAATGTCATCTAGGAAGGATGAAACGTCATTAAAAATTGTCTTTGATCATGTCAGAATGAGAATCGTGTTGTAAATGGTAAAATATCTTAAATTTGTTTTATTTTTTGCACTGTATCTTTACTTGGCTTCTGGTAGATTAAGGTAAATACGTATGAAATTATAAACGGTGTAGCCTAAAATCTTGAATAGCTGCATCTAATGTCCTGTAAAACCTATATTGAAAACTGTGAAGTATTATCAACAGGACTTATCTCTAATGTTTAATAATATATTGTAATATATAGCAGTTACAGTACAAAAAGACAATTTTGTTACTTGCTACCATTATAAATAAATATAAGGTGTAAATTGTAAAAACTAACGTCAAACAACATCCACCGAGGTTTGATTAAAACCTGACCCCTCCTTCACATCTTGTGCCTCATAAAAAGACCATTAATATCACTATCTCAAGCCAGCTTTATTGCTACAATGCTCTCATGTTAATCTGTCACTAGTTAGGCTTTCTTGAATAGTAGTCCTATTAATGAAAGCCTATTTAACAGTTTTTCTTATTTTTCAATGTGTTTTGAAGCAGCGGAGGCCCGATTATCCGATGTGTATATAAACACAGAGGTCGGGGTCTATATTTTATTTTTGTAATAGGTAGAACGCACAGTGGCTTCTAATTATCATAACCGTTCATGCATAGTTATACATTGATCATCATGGAAGAAAAGGACATTATATATAATTCATAATACATTTACCATCACAAATATTACAGTACTTGGGGCATTATTGTGTAGTTCTTCAATAATTCACTATTCACATACATTAGTGAATATTTACATATTCATAACACATAATGAAATGCAGGCTACAGCCGTGTATCTAAACGGGCTATTGCTATATTTGACATTTGTAATAAGGAATTATTTTCAAGGTGTAACTCCACTAAACCCCTTCACTAATACTGATTCTACTAAAGGTACATTCTTTGTTATGCTCACAAAGTAATGTGGTGGACATTCATGGTGCTTGCATATGTGTATGTTCCCACAGCTAAATTAATACTGAATACGCACACGTGTTTTTCAGATAAACACTTGAAAAAGAAAAATACACTCATCAGGTACAACACTCTTAAGAGAACAATCTGTTGACATTCACTTTTAAGGTACAGAAACTTCAAGAGATGTACCAAGTGACGCTCAAACTTCTTGGTCCATGTCTGGGAAAATCTCTGAGAACGACTTATTCAAGAAACAAAGTGTAAGAGTCAACTCATTATGCCTATCTGACCACTGACTGATCACTATAAACTTCGTCAGTCAGTGTGATAAACGGAAATTAAATAAAGCAGACTGACGCACAGTGGTAAACAGTTCATCGATCCTTGGGCATGAGTGGCTCCGTCACCACGCACTACCGTCGACGCATAGATTTACGCATAGACTTTGTACGTCCGTGAATTTGCGGATGAATGTCCGGGTATGGTTGTTCTTCCTGATAGAGACCAAGTTTCAAGCCACAAACTAACACCTTTTCTTTCATGTCTTGTGTGAGCGCTCTCAACTTGAGCATAATTTCTTCCTTCATGAGAGTGTAACACATGGCGATTATGCCCATGCCTATCAAAAGATACATAAAGTTAATGATGAGCTTCGTTTGGCTGTCCTCAGTGGCTTCGCCGAAGCCACCGCCGCCAAAGCCAGGAACGAAATCTCCAATACCTATCTTGGCCAGGGAGGTGAAGGAGAAATAGCAGGAGTCAAGGTAGGACCAATTCTCCCACTCGGCGAACATAATGGTGCCGGTGGTCATATAGAATATCATAACCCACATACAGGCGGTGGAAGGCACAATGATGGTTTGTTCCTCGGCTTGCTCCTCGCTTAGTTCTGCATCATCCAGAGTCTTGGTCTTGTTCCTGTTAAAGCATCGGTACATCACTCGGTACAGGAATTTGAAGGACTTGGCAAACACTCGACCCATGTTCATAAAGTAGACGATGTAGAGCGGGATGCCGAGGACGGCGTACATGATAGTGGCGATCTTGCCCCACTCTGTCCTGGGCGTCATGTGGCCGTAGCCAATCATGGTGAACACGCTCAGACAGAACATGAGAGACGTTGGAAAGTTCCAGACTTCCAGGTGGGACCGACCATCATACCCCGTCTTGACTATTTGTACTATCTTTTTCTGAAATTCGTATAGCGTATCGTTGACATCTTCGTACCACTGATCTTTGTGAAGCACGTTAAGATGTTCTGTGAAATTCCACAGTGTCCGAATTGTGTTATTGTGGATGAGTGACGTACGATTTGTCATCCAGTAGTCCTCCTTTCCCTCAATGGCTATAAAAGCGAAGGCGCCCATGATGGCATAAGACACTACCAGGCCGCCCACGCCCACCTGTGTACACATAAAGGACACGAACTTCCGACAGCAGTTCTTGCATCGTGCTCTGGAGCCCTGCGACGAAGACGATGATGTACCGTAGGAGCGCTGGGACGTGACGCCATGCGACCGTAGGGACGAGCGACCACGCTCCACACCCATCCTGTTGGCGCTGTCTCAACTTGGGTTTGTACACGCAGAAGGATCGGGCGGCCCTTCAGGACCTGGCGCCAACCTCACACCCGGCAGCACCTCGACACACTGGTGACAACCGCCTAGGTTTGCTACGTCCACGGTCCCCTCTACTGTTGCTGTAACAGTGTCCGCCCATAGCACCGTACGTACGTTTATCCGCAAGTTTCTTTATATCTGGCTAATACGATCACTGAGAATGGGCCGAGCATAACGAATTCCATGATTGCACGCAGGTTGGGCCCAAGTGATTGGACTACTATCTCCAGTCACAGACCAGCTGTATAGGTGCTTCTTCCCCGGGAGCAGAAGCAACACTGCGCCCATTCCCCACCCCAACTAATCCCACACCTCCCCGCCCTACGTCATACAACCTACGCAACTTGCATTCACTCCCTCCTCCGTACGCACTTTTGTCAAAAAATGTTAATCAGGTATTTGAGGGTATTGCATAAGCGTAGCTTTCACATCTGACCCCCACAATTCCTGGCTGCTCTTAGTGACTCTTTTTAACTTGTAGCAGTTATAAGAGAGCTCATCTAAGTCAGCCGCCACCCACCAGCACCCAAACACACAACGCTCTGGCATCGGTCCAGTCTCAGGGTAAACGTTAATGTCTCGTATACGAGCACACACAAGTCCCCGACATGCCAGTAGTCATGTGGCATGTGCATGCTGGTACAGGGCATTACTAGTACACTCCCAGTAGTCATGCACAGGTACACATCCACTACTATAACCAGTAACCATGCACATGTGCGCATCCAATACTATAGTACAGGCAGACAGACAGGCATATAATACAGATCCCAGACAGGCAGCGTCTGGGATCCTCTCGGACGTAGGTTCGAACCCTCGTCACGGCCCTTGTGGATTTACTCATAGAAGAGGGGAAATGTAGATAAATGGTGGAAAGAAAGGGGAGACGGGAGGAAAGGGGAGGGGGAGGAATGATGGGGGAGGGGGGAGAGAGACTATCACGGGTACTCCATCCTACGAGTTATAAGCCAATGGAACCGCCTACCAGCAGAAAACCTAATTAAAGGCATAGAAATTACCTCATTTCAAAATCCACATGGATAAAAATCCTCAGGAACAATTGTGGGATCTTTTAAAAGCTAACAGCTTTCTGCCCTTGTCAAGTTAAATAGGATTATAAACCCATGGAACCGCCTACCCGTCAATGCCGTGACTGAGTGAACAATGTTGAATTTTAACATTCAGCTTAATAATAATAATAATAATAATAATAATAATAATAATAATAATAATTCATTGTGTCGGGGGTTGGTATTATATTCCCCGCTCTGCTCTCCTCTCATTATACTATGCACTAATATATCACTAGCTTACATACGGTATCTGTGCATGGGGTTCAACCACTGCAAATTGCATCAAGTCTAATGTCTCAGCTATCAGAACTATAACAAATTCTGTCTTCAGACATCACATAGCCCCTCTGTTTAAGCCCCCACATTCTCATCAGTCCCCACACACACACTCCACACGTTCTCATGTGCTAGATACATGTACAAAACCTTCTTCCTAAATGCTAATCTTGAACTGAAACTTTGATTGATTGATGAAGATTAAGCCACCCAAAAGGTGGCACGGGCATGAATAGCCCGTAAGTGGTGGCCCTTTTGGGCCATTACCAGTATCGAGAGCTGATACTGGAGATCTGTGGAGATGCGAGTGCACCCTGCGTGACGGGAGATGTCTCCCGTGCTGAAACTTTTCCTTAATAGGTGTATTAGAACCCATGAGCACCACACCAGAAATATCTCTTTCATATCCCCAGTCAGACTAAATCTGTGCAAACACTCCATGCAAATAAAACGACCGGTCTATGGAACTCACTCCCTGGTGAATTAAAACAAATTACAACCTATGCCCCTGTTCAAAAGTAAAGCCAAAAAGTACCTAGTTTCATCCTCATGGTTTCCTACCATGTGCTTCAAGCTCACACTGTATCTTGTACTACCCACTTCCCAATATTAGTACTTAAGACATATATCCTTACCAGTGTAATCACCTTTGTCAACTTAAATTGTAATTATTGGTTGATATAAAACCTTGCCACAATGTACCTTTTCATCTTACCTGATATGTTAGATTAAAGACCTGCCCGAAACACTATGCGTGTTAGTGGCTTTGCATGAATGTTAAAATACCAATTTTATATAATCTCGCCAACCCATTGCATATAAAAATTATTATTATTAATTCTAGGTCCCCCCCCCCCCCCCCCCAGGGTAGAATTACTGACTCTCCCTAGGATGCAACCCCACAACAAGCTGACTAACTCCTGGGTACCTATTTACTGCTAGGTGGACAGGTGCATTAGGTGATAGGAAACGCGCCCAACCATTTCTGTCCAGTACGCCACGTACGGGACTCGAACACGAAATTCTCGATTGTGAGTCGAGAACGAGCCAATGGGTCTGTTCAAATGTCAACAGCAGCAGCCTGTAGAATATACAGACAACATATGTACGTAGACCTCAAGTTTGAGACTGAATAATTAGCTTAGATCCACACCTACAGAGTTAGCTGCACTACAACTTTCACTAACGCACTGAAGAGCAGCGGAGGAGTACTCACAGTAACCCACAGTCTCGGTGGTGTAGTGGTAAGACACTCGCCTGGCGTTCCGCGAGCGCTATGTCATGGGTTCGTATCCTGGCCGGGGAGGATTTACTGGGTGCAAATCCTTAACTGTAGCCTCTGTTTAACTCAACAGTAAAAAGTGTACTTGGATGAAAAAAAAGACTTTGCGGCGGGGATCGTATTCCAGGGACCTTCCCGAAACGCTACGCGTACTAGTGGCTGTACAAGAATGTAACAACTCTTGTATATATCTCTCAAAAAATAGTGTTCTGTGATTCAAAGTCAGCTCTGCAAGCACTTAAAAAATCCAAAATGCAAAATAGATCCTATGAATGTTGTAACATCCATTATAAACAACATAGCAAGAGCACATAAACACATAGCAAGAATTTGTCTTATTTGTATGGATACCATCTCACATAGGTGTTGTCATCCAGCATTCTGACACGGACAAGGCAGCTAAAACTGCATGTGATAAACCTGAAATTGAGTTGGATGTGGGCATTCTTATCTCTGCTGTAAAAGCTGTAACATTTCAGGAAATTAGGGATGACAGAAGAGCAGTTACTGACACTCAAAGGTCAGAAAGCACTAGAATAAAGAGTTATGATATGCTTAGAATTGAGAATTATATGTATGAGCAGCATAAAATATCCACTAGACCGTGATATTGTAATTGTCAGAATTAGACTGGGATATCGATATCTATGGCAGGTGGCTGCAGGTAGTGAATCCCCCAATGGTCAACATTCCAATTGTAAGCTATGTGAACAAGAGCTGGGACATACTCTCCAACACTATATTGATTGCCCTGTTATCAGTGATTTTAGACCAAATGGTACGAGGTACTTTGAGCTCTGTAACTACTTCATACACTCACAAATATTGGTAGATGTTCTTGTGCTATATCTAGATTTTGCTAGTGGAGGCTAATAGATCTGCCTGGCATTTCATGTTCTCTTCTGATTTCATGTATCCTGTGAGAGTGTGATATTAGATGAACTTATAGCTAGTTTTTAATCTACTGTGTAATTCAAGTTCAAGTATGTTTATTGAGACAAGAAAAAATAGAATCTATTCTACCTATAGAACCTGCTACCCTATTCTATATGAAAGACTACACAGTGTAGATCAAAACCTAGCTATAAATTCATCTAATATTCCCATCTCACAGGATGGTAAGTCATACATGAAATTTGGAGAGAAAATACCAGCCTCAATACAAAAACAAATCAACTAAAAATCGAGAGAACACGAAATGTAAGACTCCTATTAGCCTCCACTAGCAAAATCTGGGCACAGCACAAAAATATCTTCTAATATTCCTGAGTGTATGAAGTAATTACAGAGCTCACAGTACCTCATACCATTTGGTCTGAAGTCACTGATAACAGGGCAGTCAATATAGTGTAGGAGAGTATGTCCCAGCTCCTGTTTTTATAGCTTATAATTGGAATGTTGACCATTGGGGGATTCATTACCTGCAGCCACCTGCCATAAATATTGATATCCAAGCCTAATTCTGGCAATTACAATGTCACACTGTCTAGTGGATGTTTTATGCTGCCCGTACATACAATTATTGGTTCTAAATATGTCATAGCTCTTTATACTTGTGCTTTCTGGCCTTTGTGTGTCAGTGACTGCTCTTCTGTCTTCCTTAATTTTCTGAAATATTGCACCTTTTACAGCAGAGATTGGAATGCCCATCCAACTCAATTTCAGGCTTATCACATGCAGTTTTAGCTGCCATGTCTGTGTCATCATGCTGGACAACACTTATGTGAAATGGTATCCATACAAATGAGACTCTGAAACTCTTGCTCTTTGCATTAATAATGTTGTTTATAATGGATGTTACAACAGTCCTAGTATCTATTTTGTTTGCATGTTGGATTTTTAAGGGCCTGAGAGCTGACTTTGAATCACAAAAAAATGCTCCTCCGCTGTTCTTCAACTGTAGTGTAGCTAATTCTGCATTTATTCACTTAGTTGTGCTTGCGGAAGTTGAGCTCTGGCTCTTTCGGCCCGCCTCTCAACTGTCAATCAGTCACCTTTTTTTTTTACTCAAAACACCCCCAGGAAGCAGCCCGTAACAGCTGTCTAACTCCCAGGTACCTATTTAATGCTTGGTAACAGGGGCATCAAGGTGAAAGAAACTCTGCCCATTTGTTTCCGCCATCACCGGGAATCGATCTCAGGGCCATAGGATTACGAGTCCCAAGCACTGTCCACTCGGCTACCAGCCCCATGCTTGGAGATAAGCCAGTTAATTAAGTCTCACACTTGTGGTCTGTGCGCATATGTTGTCTTTGTATATTCTACAAGCTTTTGCAGTGCGACCAGTTGACATTTGAACAGACCCATCAGTGTAAGCATAGTGCTCGTGAGACCATATGTTATTTATAAAGGAATCAATTGTTTCAAGTGTTGTTGCTTTTAGAAGTGCTGAGTTTTCCTTGCTCTTTTTGCTAATAAGCTTGTAAGACACTTGTATTTCAGGGTACAGATATAATGGAATATCATTGGCTAATACTTTGCATACAATAGGAATATTTAGTTTAGTGAGATTGGCAACACTTCTACTCAACCAGTTTGCATATAGTTTGCTCGCTGGTTCGTTAGCAACACACTCCAGCCTACAGACAGCACTAGTCAATTTTTCTCTAAGTAGTAAGGGTGATGTTGGAGCTCTCATCACCCTTACGCAGAAGGTAGTACTGAGCTGCTCAATTCTTTCACATATGGTCGGGAGTTTCATTTATTTGCAAGTGTATCAAGGAGAGTCTGCAACCAGTTGCCACTGATTGCAATGGCGCAAATATCGTCTGCATAACAAAGACAGCCTCATTAACTTGAGTAGGTATGTCAACTATTAGTCTATGCATCAGCACATTGAAAAGCGTAGTACTGAGGACTCCTCCCTGAGGTATTACTAATTTAAAGGAGGCATTATAGCTACTCTTAACCTCCTTATAGATGACTGCGACAGTTGTTACTCAACCCCCAATCCATTTCAACAAATCTCCCCTGACAAAAAATGCTAGTTGTTCTAGAATGAGTTCCTTATTAGCTGTGTCAAAAGCAGCTTGGCGATCAAGAAAGGCTACGTGAGTGTTTCATTCCTGTCTGATGAAGTACTCAGCAAAGCAAGATTGTATACTTCTCCCAGGGAGAAAGCCATGCAAGTTTGAAGCGAGTTAAATTGATTTTCAACATTAGCCTACTAAGAACATTCCTCTCGAGGACAAAATACATATACAAATATTTATTCAGGTAAAGTACATACATACAAGGTGAGCTACAAAAGTTGATGGATTTATAGATAGAGCTAGTAAATACAATGCCTAAAGCCACTATTACGCAAAGCGTTTCGGGCAGCCTAAAGTCACTATTACGTAAAGCGTTTCGGGCAGGACCTTGCACATGTAAGAAGTTAAAGATATGCCTAAATTTGTTTGAGTTTAGCTTGGGTGCAGGGATTATAAGGCTTTGCGTCCAACGATCTTGGCGTAGACAAGTTTTAATGCCGTAGCCCCGAGTGAGTGGACCTGTGTTTACAAACACCTCGCTTTCCGGCGCCGGCTCCAGACTCTTGTGGCCACCAAGTTGGACTGGCAAGCAGTCATTGGGAGGACAAACCCTTCATGCAAACTGCACCTACTATCAAGAAGAAGGACTGACAGGACACATGTGGTTGCCTTTGGGTTAGGCTAATCAACCCAACAACGTAACATAACCGTACGTTACACTTCTTTCAACTAATTGAACCCAAGTCAATTTCTGGGCAGGGCAAGATATTTGGACATGTGCCCTTACACATACCTCTGTTCACCTAGCAGTAAATAGATACCTGAAAGTTAGATGACGTGAATTGTATCCTAGGGAGGTCAGCCATTGGCCTAGGACCTCAGTGAACTTGAGGTTCACTGAACAAAAAAATTATTCTGAGTAGCTAAATCTAAAACAACAACAGCCTTTTCTTTGGTCCAGATAAATGGCCAGCCCAACCATCTCTTTCGTATAAAATCTCTTCAGCTCACTCATAAGAACTAAGTAGATTTATTACACAGGCTCTTCCTGTTTGAAAGCCATATTCTGTGTTGTATTATTTCTCTCTAGGTATTCTACTCATTTGGTTTAAAAAAAAACTCTAGTGTTTTGATTACCATGCTTGTCAACAATAATGGTCTAATTTAGAGGGTCTTCTGTGTTACCACCTTTGTACATTGGAACTGTTTGCTTTTTTCCATATATCTGCTAATATTCCTGTACATAAAGATGTCTGAAATATAAGTTGACATGGAATGTTCAGTTCGGTTGCACATTCTCTCATAACCTAAGGTGAAAATCCATGAGTCAAATGTTTTGTTTCTTTCTAGCTTCTTGAGTAAGTTTTCTGCCTCGTCTCGAGACACCACTTTGTACTCTACGGTGTTTTCTGAAATTGCCATTGTCTGGTTCTCTGAAAACCTCACTTTGCACAAACACGCTTTGGAACTACAGTATTCATTTAGTGTTTCACACATTTCCTCTTTCTTTCTCTGTGAATCTCTTCCTAATTTTCAATCTCTGGATTTTATCATGCAGCTTGCTTTTAATAAATTTATAGAAAAGTCCTGGTTATGTTTTACATTTGTTTGCTACTACATCCTTAAAGTTTGTCTGCCTCTCTTCTCACTGCCATATAGTTGTTTCTTGCTTGTTTGTATTGATTGAATGTGTGTACAATATACTGTATACCTCTTCCATAGCCAACATAATGTACTATCTTCTTATCTTGAGGTTATCATGAGATGATTTTAAAGGCTTAGTGTCCTCGCAGCCCAATCTTTGACCAGGCCTCCTTTTTTTGTTACACACCCCCCGGGAAGCAGCCTGTAGCAGCTGTCTAACTCCCAGGTATCTATTTACTGCTAGGTAACAAGGGCATCAGGGCGAATGAAACATTTTGCCCATTTGTCTCCACCTCCACCGGGGATCGAACCCAGGACCTCAGGACTACGAATCCGAAGCACTGTCCACCCAGCTGTCAGGATGTCAGACATGTACACCAAAAGGTTTACTTTTATGTATGCCTACTGGACTACAAACTTTGCTCATATTCCTTTGTACAGTATTTATTTTGTAATTAAATCTCTCTTACTACTGTTAAACATGTTTAATTTTATTTTGCAGGTAAATAACAGTAATGGCATTCAAGCGGATTGTAGCATTTTATCGTAAAATTTTATTTCCCAGTCCTGTGAAGCCTCCATTTGTTCATGTATGTCAAGTAGGAGACCCAGTTTTAAGATCAAAAGCCATGCCTGTACCACCCGAAAATATATCCACTCCAGAAATACAGCAGGTAAGGTAATCAAGAATATCTATAATAAAAAAAAATTGTTGTACCATTTCAAACTGACCCTAAAATTGTTCTGTTGCTCTTAAATTTTTCGTTGGGGTTCCTCTAATTATTTTAGTTTATAATTTCAACATTGTATTTTTTTATTTTAGCATGTAATGTATTATAATATAAATATCATGCTATAAAAATGTAAGACTTCAGGAATATGTTATGACACGACACTTTGATGCAGTTTTTTGTGGGTGAACAGCTGTATACCCCACACAAAAAAAATGTATTTTTGATCATAGGCCATTCAGTTGAACCCTTAGGCAATATCTAGCATGATTGACTATTAGAATGTAGTATACATTCCTCTATACTTGAAAAACTCCTTCAATCACTACTGAAATCAACTAAAACACCAAGTACTGTATTGCTCTGCTACTACTAATGGCCAATAACTAGTTGGTTACCATGCCACAACTAGTACATTCTGCCATTCTTTTCAGTGAATCTCTTAACTTCCTGAACATGTCATGTATGTGCCTGCTCTTTCCCAGGAGGTTGCTTCTGTCACTCATTGTGTCTGACCAGGAAATATTTATGGATCAAATGGAATCAGAGGTTTTTGTCCTGTGAATTCCTCACTAACCGTGATCTCTTCTTTCTTATCAGTTGCTTCTCAAGTTGCCTGCAGTGCTTCTTTGGGATGTAGTGTTAGACTTTAATGATGCACTTTGCCTGCAGGCATTCTGTGTTGGGCCATTTCCAGGAGTCTGCTTGGTTGCCTTTGTGATGCTATCCTCTCCTTTCTGCTCTGCTGTTTTTTGAGAAAGATGTGAATCTGGATTTGTAGTTGGGGTGCATGGGGTTCCAACTGCTTCACAATGTGTATTTGGTTGAAGATGGCAGCTTCTCGCAGGATGCATTGCTGACTTTGTTGTTGTTGATCTCCTAGAAGAGATTGGGGTTTTTGCTCTCCTGTTGCCCATCTGGTTATGGCTACCATTCCGTTTCTTTTGTTAACTTGGATGGATGTGGCTTTCATCTGGTAATAGATCTCGTCAGTGCTGTGATATCATTTCCTGAGAACTCTTTCATAGTGGGGGATGTCCGAACATCGTTTAGCTGGTGTGGACTAAGAATACTTAGGCTTTGTATTTCTTCGGAGAACCTCGTGTGGGCTTGTTCACCCACTACTGCTCTAGTGTTTCTGTGTTTTATGCAGCTTTGCACTCTACTTTTACCTGCACATACACACGATGCTGGCCTGGGGTCAGTTGACAAGAAACATTGAGATCTCAAGCATTTATTGGCCACCTGAATTTTGCCCAGTGTTACCTACTGGGCTATATTTGGCTTAGTGACTATTTGCTGTGTACAATGGTGGGCCTGGATTTTTTTCTAATTTGGCACTTTTCTCTTCTGGATTTTTAATTTAATTTTGAAGCTGCCTCCAGTCCTTTCACTTGATCTGTTCACTGATACATTCAGCATGAAATGAAGCTTTGTTTAAAGTCTTTGGCATGTTAGGAAGTGGTGTTGGTCTCCTGTGTTGAGGTGTGCTAACATGTGTGTCATGGAGATTGCAGCAGTTTGGATGACACTCCAGTAGTTGCCACAACACCCACTTCCTCACAAGCTAAAGCCATGTGAAAACTAAACTACTAAGCTTATATAAAGCAGACAAGGCAAAACAAGACAAGACATACCAAAATCTTTCTTGAAGACAATGGGTGACTTGCACACTCCATACCAAAAGTAGCCAGGGGTCACAAACTTCTGGACTGCAGGATATGAACTAGTTAATAGACCAAAGTGCACCAGCCAGACTGCCACCTTTACACTAGAATTCAAACACTGGGACAATGTGTGTTGATAATGGCAGTGACCAGGAATTTTGTTCTTTTAATTGTTAGTATAAAGAGGGCAGCTCTATACTTACCAGGCAGAATGACAGTGACAACAGGATTCAAAATAACTAATCTCATCCTGAAAAAACTGCAAGCAGCAAAGGCCAGTTCTGAATTGGCTGGGAAAACTTCCCCTCATCCCAAACAGCAGAAAACATGAGGTACACAGATTTCCCAGAAACAATTTGTACTGACTGCCAATACCATTGAGCAAATGAGTAACATTGTCAGAAAGTCACACACAGAAACCTGACCAAAGCCAGACAAAAAAAAAGCATACAAATAAATGAATAAGGAAGAATCCCTTATGGCAGCCCAAGTGCACACTTTGAAAAGGCAAAAAGCACTGAAGGACACATGAATCAGGGCCAGACACAATATGCACTCACCTGCACACATCTAACTAAATCAACTCATATCAATTAGCCTCACAGTGCAGAGTACCACTACAACCACTACCTGGAAGTATGGTAACGCAGTAGTAGCTGACTCCTGTAGGAGAACATAAGAATAAAAGAAATTGCAAGAAGCTATTGGTGCAGGTGAGGTAGTTCCTGTTGGTCCATACGACGCAGCTCATATATATATATATATATATATATATATATATATATATATATATATATATATATATTATTTATATATATATATATATATATATATATATATTATATATATATATATATGTATATCTGTATCTGTATCTGTATCTGTAAACCTTCATTTTGTGGAGAGAGCCAGATTCTGATCATGGCTCTCAATAGGTTAGCAAGGATCTCGAAGGCCTTGTGCAGTTCCTAGGGCATGATATTACCAGTGCATAGCACTGGTTAACTACTGAAGGTTCCTTCCAAGAAAGGCATGTACACTATGCTTGGCAATTTTTGTCAGGTAAAGGGGAATACTGTATATAATTTGTAGAAAGATAACATTCTCAAAATCATAGATAAATTTCATATAACATTACAATAGTGATTGACAAAAATTGTTCCATCTTTTTGACAGATAATTTCTCAGATGCAGCAAGTAATGAAAAAATATGATGGAGTTGGTCTTTCTGCACCCCAAATAGGCATCCCACTCAGGTAAAGACTTTATATATATATCTCAAGCATATACATATATATACATATATATATATATATATATATATATATATATATATATATATATATATATATATATATATATATATATATATATATATATATATATATATATATATATATATATATATTTATATATTATATATATTATAGTGTGTGTAGTTACAGGATGAGAGCTACGCTCGTGATGTCCCGTCTTCCCAGTACTCTTTGTCGTATAACGCTTTGAAACTACTGACGGTTTTGGCCTCCACCACCACCTCACTTAGCTTGTTCCAACCGTCTACCACTTTGCATAAGAAAACTTTCAAATTTTTTTCAGCATCTTTGTTTCCTTAACTTGAAACCGTGTCCTCTTCTTCATGATGTTGCTGGTTTCAGGAATTCCTCCTTGTCAATTTGGTCATTTCCTGTCAGAATTTTGTATGTGGTGATCATATTACTTTTTTTTTTCTTCTGTCTTCTAGTTTTGGCATGTTTAATGTCTGAAGTCTCCTCGTAACTCTTGTTTTTCAGTTCAGGAAGCTATTTTGTAGCATGCTGCTGCACCTTTTACAGTTTCTTTATATGCTTCTTGAGATTTGGGCACCATACAACTGCTGCATATTCCGGTTTTGGTCTCATAAAAGTCATGAACAGTCTCTTTTTAGTATTTTGCCATCCATATAATTAAAAACAAGTCTAAAGTTGGAAAGCGATGCATATGATCCTCTCACAATGTTCTTTGTGTGTTCCTCTGGCGACAGCTTACTATTCAAACCACCTTTAGGTCTTGTTCTTTATTAGAGTGTACTATACTATAATCTGTTTATAATATAAAATATTATACTATATATATTTATATATACAAGAGTTCTTACATTCTTGTAAAGCCACTAGCATGCATATCATTTCAGGCAGATCCTTAATCCTATACAGTACTGTACTTTTATTATAGTTTTTACTATAGTTTACTATAAGCTTTTACTATAATATCTCTCATGACTATTATGAGGCCCTCTCGTTTGTCATCCAGTTCCTCCTTTGTCCTTGTGTTGCCTGCTGGTGAGCTGTAGGTATTTATGGTTATCAGTTTATCATCCTAATTCCTGACCTGCAATGCCATTATGTCAACTTCTCGAGGGTTTTCAATTTTTAACTCTTACCTTCAGGTGTTCTTTCACCAGCACAGCCACTCCTTTCCCCTTCCTAGTTTTCCTGTCATGTCTCCAAACTGAGTAGCCCTCAACCTCATACGACCTCATTTAAAATATTTTCTTCAAGTTTCATCTCTGTTAGTGTGACAATATCTGGGACCTTAAGCTGGATTATACCTTTTAGCTCCAATATTTTTTATCTCACTCCATCTGTGTTGGTATGTACAATTTTCAGGAACATGTTCCCATTCCTTGTGTGTACGAGTGTGTGTGTGTGTGTGTAATTACCTAAGTGTAGTTACAGGATGAGAGCTACGCTTGTACGCTTGTGGTGTCCCATCTTCCCAGCACTCTGTCATATAACGCTTTGAAATTACAGTGGAACCTCAAGTGACAAGTGGCTTCAGTTACGAGCATTTCGAGTAACAAGCAAGCCTCTCGCAGAAAATATGTCTCGACTGACGAGCTTTCCCGCTGGTTCTCGGACACCTTCGATGATAGTTTTGTTGTTGTTTCACAAGATGAGTTTTCCAAATGACGAGCTCAGTGCCGGAACGGATTAAACTTGTTAATCGAGGCGCCACTGCTGACGGTTTTGGCCTCCACCACTTTCTCACTAACTTATTCCAACCGTCTACCACTCTGCTTGCGAAAGTGAATTTTCTTATATTTCTTCGGCATCTTTGTTTAGTTAGTTTAAATCTATGACCTCTTGTTTGTGTGTGTGTATGTACTCACCTAGTTGTACTTACCTAGTGTTTGCAGGGGCTGAGCTCTGGCTCTTTGGTCCCGTCTCTCAACTGTCAGTCAACTGATGCACAAGTTCCTGAGCCTATTGGACTCTTATCATATCTACACTTGAAACTGTGTATGGAGTCTGCCACCACTACATCACTTCCTAATGCATTCCATTTGTCAACTACTCTGACACTAAAAAAGTTTTTTCTAATGTCTCTATGGCTCATTTGGCCACTCGGTTTTCACCTTTGTCCCCCCTAATGTGTGTGCCCCTTGAGTTAAATAGTCTGTCTTTATCTACCCTCTCAGTTCCTTTGAGAATCTTGTATGTGGTGATCATGTCCCCTCTAACTCTTCTGTCTTCCAGCAACGTGAGGTTTAATTCCTGTAGTCTCTCCTCATAGCTCGTACCCCTCAGTTCGGGTACTAGTCTGGTGGCAAATCTTTGAACCTTTTCCAGTTTAATCTTATGTTTGACTAGATATGGACTCCATGCTGGAGCTGCATACTCCATCCAGGATTGGTCTGACATATGTGGTATACAAGGTTCTGAATGATTCCTTACACAAGTTTCTAAAGGCCGTACTTATGTTTGCCAACCTGGCATATGCCGCTGATGTTATCCTCTTCATATGGGCTTCAAGGAACAGGTCTGGCGTGATATCAACCTTCAGGTCATTCTCTCTCTCTGATTCTTGAAGAATTTCATCTCCCAAATGATACCTTGTATCTGGCTTCCTGCTCCCTACACCTTTCTTTATTACATTACATTTGCTTGGGTTAAATGTGTGTGTATGTATGTATGTATGTATGTATGTATGTATGTATGTATGTATGTATGTATGTATGTATGTATGTATATATGTATTTACAGTATTTTATTCTTGATAAATTAATTTTACAATATTTATAAATAAATTTAAAATATTTTTTGTTTTTAGTTGTAGATTATTGTAGTTAAGTATGTTGACTGTGAGATAGATTATACTGGATCTCATTTATTGTATTATTATAGTTTGATATTATTTTGGATAAGCAGACACATCATAATAACCATTTAAGTAATGGTAATGTCTTCTCACAGACATAATAACATAGGATAAAAACCCACACTTGTGTACAGTATTTGTGAAATTTATGTAAAGAATTTATACCAAGTCTTTCACACTCTCCTGAGTGCTTTGTCAAGGACTGATTATGTAGTTAGGATGAGACTTGTATCTTAACATCTAATTCTGATGTTGATTAGATGTTGAGATGCAAGTCTCATCCTAATCACTTACACAGACCTTGACAAAGCACTCAGGAGAGTGCGAAAGTCTTGGTGTAAATTCTTTTTCATAAATTTCACAAATACACTAGTGTGGGTTTTTATCCTATAATAACCATTATCATTATTAAGAGTAATTTCTGTCCTTCAGAATAATAGCACTTGAGTTTTCACCAGAGAGAGAAAAAGAAATTGGCACTGAAGTTTATGCTGCTCGAGAAATGTCACCATTACCATTCACAGTAGGTGACAAGAATTTCTACCCAAATTAAGTATTTTTATTTCATATGTATTTTTGTATGAATTAAGAATCTATTTTCAACTGATAGAGTATTTGTAATGAAATTTTGTATAAAGGATATTGAATATTATGGTTAAGTGTGTTCATAACATAGGATCATGCAGAGTCAAACAGGACAACATACTGCATTGGCGCCACAGGGAACTTTTCAAACTGTTTTTATAATGTCATTAACACTTTGGTGTTGGCCTATCTGTGCATTCCTGAGCAGAAACGTTCTGGGCTTCCCACCCCACTCTCGGGCCACTCACCGATGGCAATTTTTTATTTTTTAATATTATTTTATGTTTTTTGTTTAGCTATTTGTTGGTTTTAGGAATAAATTTGGCACCATAATGTTTGCAAATAAATTGTCAAGAGAATAGATGCAAAAGTATTTTTACAATAGGTTATGCTCCTCTCTACATGTTCCCAAATGTAAACACAGGTCCCGGTCAATAATGCATAAAATGTTTATTATTATTTTATCTTTCAGTTTTTTGTTAGGTTATAACTATAAATTTTGTGTCAGAATGCTGACAAATGAATGCCCTAGAGAACAGATGGAAAAAAACAGCACTGAGTGTAATGAACTGCCAATTTCTGGGTGAGCCCAGCTGACTCCCTACAGCTGTCATATATATACTGATAGATGGTATCATCTACTAGGTCATATCAGTCCCAGAATTCGACAGCCCTACTGGGGACCAGAGCTAAAACCTGGCTTCCTCACAGAAATGCATGGAGTGACAACATTTATTTAAGCCATCATTGGGAAAAACAGCCAGAAATCAGTGAGTCAAAACAAACCACTGCTTGCTTCAGTAAAAACTGCAGCCTTTAAACCCCCCAATAGAACTCTCCCACCTATATAAACAAATGATTGAATTCTTTCAAAACTAGTGCCAGCGTGTTAGCCTCGCTCTCCCCATTCGTTTGTAGGGCGGTGGGAGGTAGCCTACCATCAGCCAGCATCTCCACCCTCAGTTCTAGTGGAGATTTTGCCAACCACCCCCATTCCTCAACCCCCCTCCCCCACCCCTCAACACTCCGCATCCCTCAACCCCCCATCCCTCAACCCCCTCTCTCAATCCCCCCCATTCTTTAACACCCATCCCTCAACCCCCATCTCTCAATCCCCCTGTTCTTTAACACCCATCCCTCAACCCCCCAATGACATGGAAGGGAGGGAGGGGGATCAGAAAGCCGCCGGGGCTCGCCCAGAAATTGGCATTTCATTACATTCTCCTGGTTTTCTGAGGTGGGGGAGCCTTGTGGCTCTCTGAAGCTAAACTATCCATGGGAAAGGAAAGTACATGGGCACATACCAGGGAGGAGGTAGCACCACAGGAATCAAGATGAAGAAGAGACGTGACCCAAAACCCCACAAGAGTGCTGGGGCTGGGAACAGAAACATGATACCAGGCCACAAGAACCATGTACAACCTTCAAAACCCACACACCTGAATATTAGCCTAGGAGCTGGTCGCGAACACCACCAACAGAGCGACATACTTCGCAACATCACGGATGCGAGGGAATACTATTGGAAGAGAACTTGGGCAGTACACAAAGAAGACAGTTACCACTCGTGCCGAACAAGAACAGTGTGTGAAAAGACATCATATTTTCCACCATATAAGACGCACCTAATTTATAAGGATATTTTACTGGAAAAAACTATTTTGGTACGTTTCTTCATACATTTATTGAAAGCAACATTCAGGTGTTTTTGTAAGAAAAAACATGTAATTTTGTGCATATAAATACATCATACAAGTATATTTGGTTCATGGTGGATAAAAAATATGTCGTATCCACTGGCAGATACTGTAGCATTACCTCAGCAAGTACAGTACAGTATTTTCAAGTGTGAACGTAAGAAAGCAGGAAACTAGAAAGTCACAAGTGAGAAAATGACAGACTAAGAATACAATATTCACAAGAAGGCCAGTATAGAAGTGGGGAAGTGTAGAAGAGCTCCTAGTAATGCTAGCATGAGGAGTGAATAGAGCCATCAACTAGAGTAAGGGTATTCTCTAATGTTATTACCTAAGTGTAGTTAGAGGATGAGAGCTATGCTCGTGGTGTCCCATTTTTCCAGTACTCTGTTGTACAACACTTTGAAACTACTGACAGTTTTAGCCTCCTCCACCTTCTCACTTACCTTGTTCTAACTGTCTACCACTTTGTATCTATCCCCATTTCCTGCCCATCGTACTTCCCCATTAATATAGGAAACACGAGGTACAGTAGTTTATTGATGGAAAGTTATGTAAACAAATTCCAAGTACAGTATTTAAAAAGAATAGTAAATTAAATATGGTTATTTTTAATGTACAAATATCAGTTTTAAATTGGAAATGCTTTCACTGTGGAAAAATGGCATAGTGCTGATAGTGTGTACAAGAAATATAATTTATGACATAGATGTTGATAAGATAAATGGTATATTAAATACAGCTGGAAATACTGTATAGGAAATGGAATATTGGCTGCAAATTTTTTAACACGAGGTTTACTAAAGGATGAAAATTTGATGCTGATACTTTTGAGTTTACACAAATTTGCTAAATGTACTCCTCTTTCCTAATAACAGTTAGGTTTTTGAGTACTGTATAGCATACATTATTCATCGAGTTTCATGTCCCAGTCAGCTGTTCGATTGTGGTTAGCTCTTTCAATTATGATTACATATTTTGATTGTAGTTAGATCTTTTAATTTATTGTTAAGACTAGATAGAGGGCAAAATACTGTCCAAGGAGTTCATTCTAATTTACCACGTTTGTCTTGCCAGTATCTAGTTACAACTTCTAGGTGCAGAATTGTGTTCTGTCCACCAGTATTGTAACGGGATATTTTTATTTTCATTATCTCAAATATATCGGATCGATGATTATGCTTCAATACTGGACTTATGTCAATAAGTTTACTAGCTTTGTTGATCAAATTTAGTGTCTTGCCAAAAGTTTAATATATTTAACTATTTGCAGGTATTTTTAAACCCCAAAATGGAAGTTCTTGACTTCAAGAAAATTGTGTTTCCAGAATCTTGTGAGAGCTTGAGAGGATATAGTGCCATGGTGCCTCGGTACAAGGCAGTGAGATTAACAGGTAAGCAGGCAATGAGTCACAATAACGTGGCTAAAGTATGTTGACCAGACCACACACTAGAAGGTGCAGGGACGACGACGTTTCGATCTGTCCTGGACCATTCTCAAGTCATGCATGCATGCAAGACAGGTAAGCTTGCATGCATGCATTCAGGCTTAGATAAAGACATTTTTGAACCCTCCTTAAATTTAATAAAATGTATTTATTTTGAATTGCCTTTGTAATGACACGAGTGTCTTTTGCTATCTTCAGATGATAGCAAACACACACACACACACTGATAAAAATCTAAAGTGTAATTAAAAATCTATATTTTATTCTTTGAGTAGAATATTAATATTCCTATAATGCAATGCTTAGTTGTGAAGCCTTTGCCTGATATAAAATTAACCTGAAAATAATAATTACTCAAGATACAATTTATAAAGTTCAGTGTATGTATTAGTGTAGTGGCACCTCCAAAATTCTGATCACCCTATAACAAATTTCCCTAGATAATAGACCAAATTTTGGGACTAACTTAATGTATTACCATAATTGACATTTATATTTATTGGAGTAATGCTTACTAATATATGAGAAGCAAACTAATATACTGTATATGAATTGTTACTAAATTGAGCAAACTGAAGTTTTTAAAGTGGTATTTAATCATGAAAGCCACAAGACAATTTTATTTTAGATTTTGTAGTTTTTAGAGGTACAGTACGTACTGTAACTACAGTATAGTCATATTACAGGAACTTGGACTCCCTTTGATCCTGCTTGGGTTTTGGTGCCCTCATCGCAGGGTTTGTTGTTACAGGGCGAGGGGGTTTTCTTACCCACTTTCCCTGTACAAGTTTGATTTGGGATCGGCTCCTTCCCGGGTTCGGTTCCGTGTTCCCTTGGGTTCATTGGCGCCTTCCTTCCAGAGGTTTCCTGCCTCTTGCGTCCCACCCAAGGAGGTTCGGGAGGCTCGTGCGGCTTACCTCCTTCAAGATCCGGAGTATGCCTCTGTACTGGATCCGTCATCCTTTGAGTATGGTTCTTCATCCCAGTATTGGGTGTGTTATGAGGTTCCGGGGTCTTCATGGCTGGCAGACTGCCCTCTTTTTTTTTTTTTTCTCAGGGAGCATGGCATGTGTTTTTGTCGGACCCGCACGCTTGAATGGCAGGAGGCTACTACTGTTCTGCAGGTTTACCTGGAGGGCGATTTAGAGCGCTTCACTGCGTGCCTTTTTGCCCCTGTGCTTCCTCAGGATGTTGGCCTTCAGCAGCTGCACGTGCAGGTCCCCTGCTCTTTCGCCTATCTTGGCTGCTGAGGTCTTTTGCACCCGCGGGCATTTGGCCTTGGTCTTACTCTTCTTTTCCCTTCGAATGTTTCCCAAATGTTCCACCAAAAGTTTATAGAATTATTTTAATTAGTCAATGACATTCAATTCTGCAAAAATACTTTAGAATTATAGCTTCTCCTAACATTATCATGTTACCTATATTTATGACCCAGCTAATTCCATTCAGAGGGTTCAAAGTATTAGTTGTCCTCTTTGTATACTCTATGTAGGCATATATATACACAGTATATGAATATGCATATGCATATATATAGAGACAAAAAGAATAAAAGAAAAAAGATAAAACAGTTAAAATAAAAATTTGTTTCTAGGTGTTGATCAAAAAGGAGAGCCCATAGTGCTGGAGAGCAAAGGATGGATATCAAGAATAATACAGCATGAAATGGATCATCTTGATGGGATGTTATATATCGACTTAATGGACTCAAAAAGTTTTCAAAATGATGCATGGCACAAAATCAATGTATACCAAGGTAGAGTGCAGATACAATTTTATAAAAAATGACCAAAATCCTGAAACGTTTATTTCAGACAATGCTGTAGTAATATTAGTATACTACTGAATATGTAAGTTTGTTCTGTATGGATACATACTGGTAAATGTTTATATACTCTTGTGTATGTATCAAATAAAATACAGTACTGAAATTATATATTTTTCTTTGAAAGTGTGACAAGAGAAAATATTAAGGTTGCATAATGAAACTACTCTTATCCCTGGGCTTCCTGGACACATGGAAACCACCATGAGCTCAAATATATTTCCTACAAGGAGTGCCGGACCAACCGAGCTGTGGTGGGTATGTGGGCCTGCAGGCCGCTCCAAGCAACAGCCTGGTGGACCAAACTCTCACAAGTCAAGCCTGGCCTCGGGCTGGGCTTGGGGAGTAGAACAACTCCCAGAACCCCATCAACCAGGTATAATCAGATGTAGTACCAGACTTACATGGAGTTGTACATGTATGTATGTATGTATTCACCTAGTTGGGCTTGTGGGGGTTGAGCTCTGCTCTTCTGGCCCACCTCTCAACTGTCAATCAACTGTTACTAACTACTATTTTTTTCCCTACACCCCCCCCCCCCCTACCCCAGGAAGCAGCCCGTAGCAGCGGTCTAGCTCCCAGGTACCTATTTACTGCTAGGTATCAGAGGCATCAGGGTGAAGGAAACTGCCCATTTGTTTTTCTGCTGGCTACTGGGATCGAATCCTGGTCCCTAGGTCCATGAGTCTAGAGCGCTGTCCACTCAGCCAGTCAGCCCCGGGGGTTGGGGCTATGTATGTATGTATGTATGTATGTACAGTACTGTAAATACTGGTTGTGCAACACCTCAAGAGGTCATAGATATAAACTAACTAAATAAAGCTGCCGAGAAATATAAGAAAATTCACTTTCGCAGAGTGGTAGACAGTTGGAACAAGTTTGGTGAGAAGGTGGTGGAGGCCAAATCCGTCAGTAATTTCAAAGCGTTATATGACAAAGAGTGCTGGGAAGATGGGACACCACGAACGTAGCTCTCATCCTGTAACTACACTTAGGTAATTGCTAGTAAAATATAGGAAGTGGCTCTTCCACTGTGCAACTCAGCTGGGGTTAATCATGGTAATTATCTGTAAACTGCACAACAAGGCTGGGAAAGCATTAAAGTACCATAGAATGTAAAGGTCCAGCGGCATAAACAAGGCAACCAGATGCTGCCCAGGGGCAATAGTAAACAGGCACTATTTTTAAAAAAATCCTGAGTAGGCCGCATTGATGGGAAGGCCTTGGTTTGTATCGAGTTACCATAGCTGATATACGACCCTCCACCTCACAATACCACTATGGCTCGCTCCACACAACTGCTGATTGATGATGAAATTCAGAAGAGACTTATTGAAGCTCAGGAAAGTAGCAATAATTATAAAGATTATGCTCAAGGCTCAGATAAGTGATACAGATTCAAGTATTAACCATACACAGGGTGAGGTCTACACCAAAACCACTGCTGTCACAACCTGACTCGACACCACCACTGCAAGACCGGCCACAAGTCTGTGCAACATGCTGTTCCTGTAGGCTGTGAATATGTGGAAGATGACTCATTTTCTGGATTTAGTGCCTTGGAATCTGAGAGTAGCTTTAGCAGTGCTGTGACAAGTGGTGGTAGTGTATATGATGCTATCAGGTGAAACTCTGCTGCGTTAGCTGCTCACCATGGCAAGTGCTGGCGTGTGATGTTGCATGGGTAAATTGAGGGAAGACTGCACTTGTCTTCAACCATTATGGCCTCATAATCAGATGTTTGTGCCCGCAACAGTGTGCATAGTGCGAATCATAGTGGCTTCAGAGCTAACAGCTGAAAAGTGCAAACCCAGTTTGTTCATGATCAACACTGGATCCACTACAACAGAACCCGGGAGTTGGACAGACAATGTGTCTGGAGGAAATATACTTGTAATCATATGAACTTCTAAATACTGTACGAGGGAGAGTGGTGGGAACAGTAATAGTGGAGACGTAGGATCTCTAACACTTATGTTTAGCTGAATGAATGGCCCTATGGGGTCACCACACTCGCCTTCTGAAATAAAATACAAAAAATCAGACGTATTCCGGTGTTAGTAAGTGGGGGGGGGAGAGAGGGGGAGTGAGAGAGAACAAATGATATACCGTTTATTCACAAAGATAAGAATAGCAGTGGAATGAATGTTCAACTGAAAAAGAAAGGGAACAAGAGGAGCATAATTCCAAATCAAGAGAGCAGTAAAGTCAGCTGTAAAAGAAGCTGTAGGGGTGCTAAGAAAGGAATAATCATGGAATCTACCAGGATGAGTGGCAAGCATCAGTTCCTGGAGACAAAGAAAATGGTAAAAACTGCAAGATCAAAAGCTGCAGCTCACTGAAATTGGCATAAAAGCCATGGATATTCCATTGAGGAACAGATGTAGACAAAAAATAGAACATAGATGTTCTAGAAGAACAACTGACAAAAGGATAAACAAAAAAAGTAAAGACATAAGACAAAGGACACAGAATTAAGGAAGATCAGGATCAGAGAAAGCAGGGTTGGGGGATATGCAAAGTCAGCAGAGATGGTTGGTTGAGAGGTCCATGGTAAGGAGCATAGGTGAGACGAAAGGGTCTGGTGAGGAAGGTGGTGTTGGGAAGGGCTGGTCAATGGGAGTTGGGTTGAGTAGGGACAAATGGTGTGCTCTGGATCAGGGGCAGCATCAGAAAGGAACAAGGCCAACAAGAATTCCTTTATCGAGCTCAGAAGGCTCTGCTACCGAGATGTGAGGAGATGCAAGAACAAGAATGGAGGGGGGGGGAGGTAAAATAATGACTATTGGCTTCACAACCATTAGGGAGGAAGAGCGAGAGGGACCAGGCTTAGGTTTCAGCCTGATACACAGGAATGGTAGCATCAAGGTATTGTGAAATACTAATAGGTACCACGGTACCTATTGTCTCAGGCAGGCAGGAAGAAAGAAGAGTGACATGAGGATGGATGAGTGGGTGGTGGATATCGGGCTGGACTGCTATATGCCAGGGAGGGCCTGAGAAGGAAGACCGAACCAAGAATTAGAGGGGGCCCACAGTATGTAAAGAAGAGTGAAGAGGCGACATGAAAATGATGGGCAGGGGAAGACAAAGAACGCGGAACAGAAACGTCAGCCAGTGGCACCAGAGAAACGCTCACAGATTCGGATTACAGAAGAGCAGGGAAGGACAGAGTTTGTGTAGGTATCTTAGTCCAAGTTTTGGGAACAATTGTGGACCTGAGGATGGACGAGAGGGTTGGAGTGGGGCAGAGGAGCACAACATAATGCACAAGCTTAAGTCATTCTAGAAAAAAGAGAAAAGAAGGCAAACCTGGCATCTTGCGTTGAGGAAAGAAATGCAATTTTGACGTCTAAGGTTAGAATGTTTATGGCTTGTTTAAACATGTAAAGGAGAGACAATAAATAACTTAGTGGGGCACCACACAGTTGCAATGAGCACAGGGAGAAGAGAATTGTCCTAGAATGGTCTGAGGAACCACACAAGGGGAAAAAAGACACCTCACTACCACATTTTAAGGTTCCATGCCTATATTTCTAACACCTAATGCAGAGGTGTGGAGAATATATGTATCCCTGAATAAAGCATCTGTCACCAGCAAGAATTACGACCGTAAGGAGGCAGAGTGAATGTGTCAACCTGCAGGACATAAAACCCTGGGCCTCAAGGACATAATATCCTCATGGAAGCCATTAAGTTTTCTGTCTCAATATGGGGTATGAGGAGGATTGTGCTAATGCTGGCATTCAAAAGGCGTTCTTTGAGACTTAAACTGGGGCCACATCAATGTGAGATAGGGCAACTAGGTGAGCAACTGCCTCTTGAGAGGGAGCCCTCGATGACAAAGGGTGTCATCCCTTTGTCTGGGTGGGAGTAAATTGAGCACGAGCATCTACAATTTGTGTCTAAGATATTTGTGTGTGCAAATCATCAGGGTAGGTATAGACATTAAAATATTTGGGTCATGTAGGGTGCCAAACAGGTCCTAGAATGTAGCAGCTGTTGCGGGTAATGTGCATAGTTGATGGTGAGGAATGTTGCCCGAGCCCACCTGGAATAAGATGGGTAAAAGACAGTAGTTACAAAGATTGAGTAACAGGTAACAGATCCAGGTGACATGGTAATTACAAAAGGGAACCAAGTCGAGACCTTCCCGAGGAAGAGGCTTAGGAAGGAAGAAGCTCCAAAATGGGGTATCCAAAAACGAAGCCTGGTCTGGGCCCACTACAGCCATAGCTATGTAGTTATGGAGACTGTCTAACACAGTCTGACTTGCAGTCCCTGGTCACCCGCCCCTAAAGTCTGATGACCTCGAAGAGAAATGTGGTCAGAATTAAACAAAAAAGCAGTATTAGACTTCACTGCCCTGCACCCCCCACCCTCCATAGAGCCCAACAAAGGAAGACACAAGCACATGGGCAAGCAATCTCATGGGTAACTGGAACAGTGTGTGTCAACCTTGAAGGGATTAAAATGGTAATCCCAGGGACCAATAGGGATACCAACCCTGCAATGCCCACTTGACCTGATGTCTGACTAAGTGAGTTGAGGGATCCAGGTAGGCCACACTGGACCACCTGTTTTACCATGGTTCCCCCCACCAAAGCAGCTGGATAGGCTCAACTATCAGATAAGAAAACATGGGGGAATGTATGGGTTACCATACATGGCTAACGCACAGGAAAGCAGTTCACTTGTGCACCACTACAGCAGGCTGGAGAAGGGCACAGGAGCCACCACAAAGGCCCTCCTCACCTTGTCAAAGAACCACTCGCAGAGATGGGACACTTACAAATAAATGCCTTCCTTAGTGAGTGCTAGGTCACTGGAGGCCACACTAGTGACTAAACACCAAGTTCAACTAATATACTTCTTTACGATACATTTATGGTTTAACCATGTTGGCACTATCCTCTACCTGTGATACCTAATAAATGTCCAGCCATACTAACAGTAGATGGAGACAGAGAAATCTACAGATGTCATAACTCTTTCTGTTGTCACAATAATGCATTTCAAGTACACAGTTAAGGATTTGTGGTACAGTATTACCATTGAGTGAAGCAGATATAAAAATATACAGGAAGGATAAAATGATACTGAATT